GTGGTGTTGGTAGTAGAGGTACAGAGAAGAGTAGGGGTGTAATTTAGGGTAGTGTGTGTGTGTGTGTGTGTGTGTGTGTGTGTGTTGTATGTGGAGGCAGAGAAGAATGGAACAGACAAAGATGAAAAAACCCTAGCAATTCAGAGGAGGGCTTGGAAGTTTTCCATCAATTTATACATAATATACAGTGGAAAGAAATGACTTTATTTAGTATTTAAAATATTCTGTAAAGTCAACAGAGACTGTAGAATAAATATAAATAGGTATAAAAATGAATATAGGTTAATATTTAAGTTTACAGAATTTACAATTAATTAACCCACTAATCTTAGTGTTTAACTTTCAATTTTTGCTTGTGTTTATTTTCCCTATTGTTTTTACTTCTATTATTTCAATACATTGAGGTCCATACAGAAAGTCTATGTCAGGATAATTTCTTTTCTTGATGAAGATAGAAACTGAATTTTACTTTTAAATTTAAAAATTACTTCAGGCCAGAAAAACTAAAAACATATTGCCAGCATGCTATAATCACTTACAAATCAGCTGATGTGCTTTAATAATTTGATTTCCAGTTGAAATGGCATGGTTCATCAAATTATAGTCAGGCTAATTAGAGTGTTACATATTAGTGTTTCTTGTTGGTTGAAAAATTGTCATCATATAATAATGATCTTTTAGCCATTTATGCCTTCGTGCTGAATGGACTTTTATAGTAGTCTTGAGGCATTTAATATTCTTATCAGTTTATTCAGTTTATTGGCCATTTTCTTCTCTGTCCTTTAATTGGTTATCAGTGTTGCTGAATTTCTGCAGGGATATGTATTAAATAAATTATAAGAGATATATTTTATATCCTGTTTCAGATTTGTTACTAATATCCAACTCAGCTGCACTTGGTGAGTTCCTAGCCTGTATGACTTCGGTTCTTGAAATTCATGGACAATTGCTTGGAACCCAGAACTTAGCCTTCAAGCTTAACTTTATTTTTCTTAGATGGGGGCTGTGGGTGAATGGAGAGGTTGGATCAGATCAGTGATTCCTAAATTGGCTGCAGATAAGAATCCCCCAGGGAGTGCGATTAAAGGGTGCTCTGACCCCTTACCCAGAGATTGTAGTTCTATAGACCTGGGGTAGGGGCACCTGTGTGGCTCAGTAGGTTAAGCGACTGGCTTCGGCTCAGGTCACGATCTTGTGGTTTGTGAGTTTCAAGCCCCCTGTTGGGCTCCGTACTGACAGCTCAGAGCCTGGAGCCTGCTTCCGATTCTGTGTCTCCCTGTCTCTGCCTCTACCCTGTGCCGTCTCTCGCGCTCTCTGTCTCTCAAAGAATAAAAAATATTAAACAAATTTTTTTCAATATAGGGCTGGGGTAGGTCCTGGAGATTTTTACACATGCTTTCCAGATAATTCTCAGACAGTCAACCGAGCACTGGAAATGGTTGAACCAGTGCTGCATTTGAAAACTTCGCAATAAACTATTTAAGAAAAAAATATCAATAAACTACTTAAGAAAAAAAAAGAAAAAGAAAACTTTGGAACTGTGGGCTCTGATGTGTTAGTACAGGAGCTGGGGTTCGGTCTGTCTCTATAAAGAAGTTTATTGGGATATAATTGTGCTCCTCATTTATATATCATCTACAGCCACTTTCGCGCTACAGTGGCAGAGTTGAGCAGAACTGCCGGAGACCGCATGGCTCACAACACCAAAAATATTTACAGTCTGATCCTCTACAGAGAAAGTTCGCTTACCCTTCCACGAATGGGTTACAAAATCATTTCGATAGGTGGCAATGGGTGGTATTTAAAAAAATAAAACAGGAGAGACTAATACTATTTAATGCATGTAAATAAGTGCTATGATGTTAAATTTGCTATTATCTACATATACGTTTATGTGTATCTGTATATAGAGAGGTATATGTATATACACATACATTTGTGCATAATGGGGAATATGTATTTCTTATTGTGGGTAGCTGCCAAAAAACTTTGAAAAAAGGAAACTGCATAACCTGAGGTACAGCTTTCATTTGTGGACGTTCCCTCAGTTGCCAGCGCGCTTTGGCGACATGAATGTGGGCGGAGGGAGGAGTGGGTGGAACAGCAGATAACGCAGACAACATGCCTTACCTGACTCACTAAGCTTCTCGGGGCTGCTTCCTATCTGGTAAGCCAGTGTCACTCCCTTAAGGAAGGGTAGTGCTCAATGTCCGTATTTGTCCAAAATGTCACTGCCAGAAGTAGAACCAACTAAAGCTGTGTGCAGGGTGTGAGGGCGCTAATGGGGCAAATACTAAATTTATAGGGTTGTTATAAGGATTGAAGTAATATAGTCCTTCAGACTAAGAGGTGCTGTCCAGTGCTAGGATGCTACCAGTTTTTATCCGCATCTTTTTATTCTTACAGTTGGTACCCACATCCCAGTCATAAGACTAGCTCCCGAATGTTACCAGCCATAGCACTGATGGTCACATTTTGTGAAGGTGCCAGTGGTGGTACAGGGACTAAGGGAGACAAACGTCAGGGCCAGAGCGAGGGAAGTAAAGATGGGGGCTCAAGTTCTTGGACGACTGCGACGGTTCTTGTTTCTAAAATTAATAATAATACAGAAAAATCTACTGTATTTAGATTTCCTGGTGAAAATTCTAATTTGCTAGCACTATGCTATGGTGTGAGTATTTGCTGAAATCCTAACCCCCAATGCTCTTAGGAGGTGGGGACTTTTGGAAAGTGACCAGGTCGTGAGAGCACAACCCTCATTAATCAGATTAGTGCTCTTGCAAAAGAGACACCAGAGAGCGCTCTGGACCTTTCTGCCCCAGGAGGAGACAGAGAGAAGATGGTCTTCTATGGCCAGAAAGTGGGCTTTCACCAGACATTGTATTTCCTAGCACCTCAGTCTTGGGATTTTCTGGCCTCCAGAACATACAGAAATAAATTTGTTTTTTAAAATCCACCTGTCTATAACATTCTGTTAGAGCAACCCAAAGGGACAAAGACACACTATAAACTGTTGGCTGCCAAGATTAGGAAATGAGCTTTAATCAAAAAGAACAAACAAAAGAAAAATTATTCTTTAAAAAAAAAGGGAATTAGTATATAATAAGAGATAATTTGCAATGTAAAGTATAAGTAATTTAATATGATTCAGAAAGCCCTTTGGAATCAAGCTGTGCTTCAGGGTCATCATGGAGATGAGTAAAAATTTTGGTTGCTTTTATTTTATTTATTTCTTTGTTTGTTTATTGTCAAGTTGGTTTCCATATAACACCCAGTTCTCATCCCCACAAGATTTTGGTTGCTTTTAAAGGGATGCTGAATGACAAGCTTTATCAGAGTTTAAACTCAGGTTCATCGTTTCCTAATTCGGTTATGACCCCTCATAGTTTTCATTTACATATAATCAAATGCAGGATTGAAAAGGACCACAAGGTGTTCTGGTCTTCTGATCTGATCCTTGAATTACTTTTTTTTTAAATAAATTTTTTTACTGCTTATTTATTTTTGAGAGACAGAGAGAGAGACAGCATGCGAGCAGGGGAGGAGCAGAGAAAGAGGGAGACACAGAAAGAGAAGCAGGCTTCAGACTCTGAGCTGTCAGCACAGAGCCCGACGCGGGGCTTGAACCCACGAACCCCGAGATCATGACCTGAACTGAAGTCAGATGCTTAACTGACTGAGCCACCCAGGAGCCCCGTGAATTACTTCTGACTTAGTCAACAAATAGATATTGCGCATGATCATGTAGCAGTACTTGGCAACCATGTGCCAAAGACTTTTCCATATACTGGATCATACTAGTGAAAACATTTTCTTCCCATGAGGAGTTCACATTCTTGTAGCCTGTGTGTTTAAATGTTTCTCTTAAAAGGGAACACGTTCTGGGAGACAGCCTGGTGCATCTTTAGACACTGCAGTTTTTCTTGCCAATTTCACTTGCTTCTCTCATTTAGAATGAATGCAAAACCAATCCTCTTCGATGGTCCTTCAAAGATTTGAAGATAGTCTTCCATCCAACCTCATATCCTCTTGTATCTACACCCAATCTCCAACCCTGAAACCTCCTCTACACATTCTCTTCCTCTGTGCTCCCCCCATACTTGGTGGTGTATTTTTTTTTTCATTGCAGGTCACTCTATTGCAATAAACTTTGTTCATCACTTGACAGTAATTTCAAAGGATTACTCATAGATCATTACCACTGGAGACAACACCTGGCATGCATTTAGTTAACAAGTGCTTACTGGTGAACTTCAAGGACTCATTGCTTTAAGGATAAACCAAACTATATGTTATCATTAAGAATTCACCCACCTGTGGTGCCCGGGTGGCTCAGTTGATTAAGTGTCCGACTTCTACTCAGGTCATGATCTCATGGGTTGTGGGTTCAAGCCCTGTGTCGATCTCTGTGCTGACAGCTCACAGCCTGGAGCCTGCTTGAGATTCCGTGTGTCCTTCTCTCCCTCTCTCTCTCTGCCCCTCCTCCATTTCTGCTCTTCTGTCTCAAAAATAAACATAAAAAAAAAAAAAAGAATTCCCCCACCAGATAGACCTTACTAAAAAAATAAAAGAAGTGAACTATTGTTACATGCAACAGTTTGGATGAAATCTCCAGGGAATTAGGCTAAATGGGGGGAAAAAGTCATATACTGTATGATTCCATTAATATAAAATGAAATGACAAAATTATAGAAGTGGAGATAGAATGGAGGCAGGAGGGAAGTAGGTGTAGCTATAAAGGGCAGCATGGGAGATCCTTGTATGGCCTTCGGGTGAGAAAACTCTCCAGCATCTGGACTCTGTCAGTGTCAACAACCTGCTTGTGATATTGTACCCGAGGTGTGCCGGATGTTATCACAGGGAGGAAATGGGTGAAAGGTACACATGATCTCCCTCTGTATTGTTTTGTACCACTGTATGTGAATCTACAATGATCTCCAAATAAAAAGTTTAATTAAAAAAATAAGATTTCCCCCCAGAAAGAAAGTAGGCTTCACACATTCTTCAAATGCATTCTTTTTATTTTGAGAAGGACGATCTCAAGGCAGTGCCCTTTGGGAAAGGCATCTCTCATCATCATATACATCGAGATCAACCATTACTCTCAGCAAAGTACAAAAATACACACATCAGTGACTTCCGTACAATAAATACATAATCATGCATCCCACAATAAAAGGCACGGAAAACTGGTCACTTAGTAGTCATAAAAATTACTAGCTACATTAACAAAGCCACCCAAATTATCTGTATAAGTAACTGTAACAATATATTCCAAAGGTGAAAACACATAAAACATCTTTAAAATAGTATGCAATAAATATCTCAATTGTATATATTTAAAAAATTATGCCATTGTAAACAGCATGTAAACAAACAAAACACATTTTCTTACCATTATTAAAAGTAATTAGAGCCAAAGTTACAACCTCTGCTCTGTCAGGTATACTTCACTGGCAAGTGTGCTAAGCAGTTAAAGTTTCACTCTTTTCTGCAGCAAACAGAGCCCATTGTGTAATAAATAGACATGATCTGCATCTTTCAGATACAAGTAAAAGTTTCAAAACAGACTACCAAAATGTAGTAAATTCTTAAAACTATAAATAATATGGCAAAGGCTAGATTTAAACTATCTTTTGCAGTGTAAGGGACAGAAGGAGCTACACTGTTAGGTTTTCAACATGATGATAAACAGGAGGCAAAAGATTATGATTATCTTTATTGGAAGGTAAAATAAGTGTCCAGCTGAGCCTTGGCCTTTTGTGGACCTTTTACGATATGGAACAAAGAGGGAAGTTGTATCAAACTAAGAAGTTTCTTTTGCTAGAGAACAAAGAAATGGTTGATACTTTATACTGATGGGAAAGAATGACTTCAAACTATGCCTATCAAAATGTAAATATACATACAATTAAGGTTTTTTCCATACTTACTGACAATAAAGATAAAGGTTTTTTTTTCCTTCTCATAAAGGAAACTCTTGCCTGACCATCATTAAATATTCAGAGAAGTTAATTTTTTATAACTCAACTATTTCTGCTTTTTTCATCAATGTCAGTGCATTGTGGCATACAAATACTTGTAGTATATTTACTATATGCTCAGATAAGTATGCAACCTGTTAAATATTATTACTCCCTACTCCCTATTAAAAATAACTGAGGTGGAAATATCAATCCATTAATTTCAAATGGAATCTTTGAAGTATACCAGAAAGCATTACTTTATAATTTTTCCTTCTGCTGTGGGTTTATAGCCATATATTTTGGCTTACGGCATTAATAAGGATATATGCCTTCCTAAAATGGACTCGAAATTGAATTCATGTTCTACAAATCTATTAGCCACGTGGACTACACCTAGCACCTATGGTTGTGGAAATGGGGTTTCTCAGGATTGAGGAAAGATATACTTGACGGGTGATGGTGAAAAATTATTTGTGGCTGACCTGAAATTACAAAAACTGGACATAAAAATGGGATTAATTCTTTACAACACAGAGTTTTGTTTTTTTTTTTTTTTTTTTTTTTGGTGGAATGAGATTATTCTAAAATAACCTCGGAAACATTTGGTTTAAAAATTGTCCCCCCAAACTGTAGAAAATAATTCTGAAGACAGCCTATTTCACTGTATTACCAGCATCGAATCAAGTGCCCCGAACAGAGCAGGGAGAAAAATGTCCCTCACGTGAGCAAAGGAAGAGGGCATTTAATTTAATTACATGCATTTTTTATTACTATTTAATGTTAGAAATTATTAACGATAAAGAACTTTTTGTGTCGATCTTTATCATGATTTGGGGATGTGGTTGAAGGGTTTTATGGAATCAGAAAAGAACAGAACAAACCCTTAGGTAATAGATTTTAGTCTTTATGTTCTAAAGGGGTGAGGGGCGACAGGCAAACAAGCCATCCTACATTTGCATCATGAAAAGTGAAATAATCCTTAGCTACAAGTGACCTGACATCACACCAATTCAGTCTGGATCTCTGGCTGGCTATTACTTTTGAGAAAATTTCACCTTCATTATTGGTTTTCATTCATTCTTTCTCAAATCTCATTATTTTGTCTAGGTGATCAACGCATGTGTTTATATAGATTGTATATATACAATCTGAATGTGTCCTCAAAAGTGCAAGGTGGTCTTTAGGGCATATTCATGAACTACAAACAAGAATTTGACAGCGATTTGAAAATTTTGTAAGCCTCGTTTTTAGAAACAAGAATTCAGATTTGGTAAATATTTCTGAGGAAAAACTAACAAATGATTATCCTTTTCAAAACAATCTCTCTTCCTTGAGGTTTATCTCCTGTTGGCACTCATGCCCAGTGCATACATGCTCACCTGCTCGTGAACACCCCCCCCCCCCATGTGGCTCAGGGAACTCTAAGCTCATATTTGTGAAAGTATAAAATTAAAGAGAAGTCTGGGTTCCATAGGACCTTCATTCTTTCAAAAGCATTTATTGAAGTCTTATTATATGGTAGCTCCACATTGAGACTACAAAGATAGAGAAATTTGGTAGGGTGGGGAAGGCAAGCACACACACACGCACACACGCACGCACACACATGTAAAATTATTGAAATGTGATGTTATTTTTACAGAGAAAGTTTCAAGATGCTACGGAACATGAATGAAATACTTAACCTTGGCTGGGGAAGTCGCGTAGAGCTTCACTGAAAGTTAAATCTGAACTGAGTTTTGAATGAGTTGATCTATGGCCAAGTGATTATGCTAAGACAATGAATTACAAAAAAGGAATCGGTGGCTGAGGATGCTAAAACAAGTGGGAAGAGGCAAAGCCATAGAGACCCTTATCTATCACAACCTAATGTTGCTACGCTCTAAAAAATGGAGAACCTATGTAAGAAATTTACCAAAGGAATGACAGAGCAAATGTGTATTTCAGAAAGACCACTCCATCAACCATGTGGAAGACGAACTAGAGGTAAGAAAGAAGGTATGTAGGAAAATCGGTTGCTCAAAACCTATGGCAAAGCACAGGAGAGAAAAATCCTGAAGGTCTGTATTGGTAGAGGGCTGAACCACGGCAATGGAATTATGGCTTTACCGCATGTAATTAGAAATAGAACAGAAAATACCAATTCAACTTTTAGATGGACAAAAAATGAAATACGCAACTGCATAAATACTGAGAAAACTTTGATATATGTAACGCTTTTGCTCACACATTCCAAAACCGGGATTGGGGTTAAGCACTTATTTTGTTCCATGTTTCAGTTCAGGGGTTTCTTGGCAGAAGCAGGCAGTCATATCATGTTGCTGTGAAAACTATGTCATCTCTCAAAAGCTTTTTGAAAGCTTTTCAAGTAAAAAAAAAAAAAGGAGAGGAAACAAAAGAACTGTCCAAGTTTGCAATTCATTTATCATTATGTATATTTAAAAAATTGCTGCACAACAGACTTGTAAACAGGGTAGGTTCTAACGAAATTTATAATTAATGTTAATTATACTAGGGTCATCTGTATATCAGTCATTGTGAGATGCAAATACCCAGAACAATACTTTCTTCCTGTCCCTCTACCAAATCATTATGAAATCCTTGTTCAGAGACCCGTCTTCATGAAAACTAGGCTGTGTCATTAAGACCGATCAAAATCCTCTGCAAACGAGTTCTGCTTTGGTCTTTTCTCTGTATCATGCAGCTCACAACCTCTTATAATTTCAACATCTTTAGGGGAAGGGGATGCCAGGTGTTCCAAGTTATCCCGTTATGCTGTAATAAATATCAGATTTGGGGACAAGATTTTTAAGTTATCAGTTAGTGGCTGGGTTCAAATGTTAGGAAAAATAGAAGTCAATATTCATTAACCCTCATCTGTATTTAAGGATTTTAATGAGGTTATTCTAATTCTTTCCCCTTAATTGTACTCAGATTTCCAGTATGGTAATAATTAAAGCATTCTCTAGCTTAGTTTCTTTACAGGAAGTTTTGCAGGTATTTTCATGAGGGACTATCATTCCGCAGCCAGGAAATGTAGCTAATGCTTCAGATCAAACAGCAAGGAAACCAATCAGAATTCAGTTAATACAGAGAGTAAGTGCTGTCACAGTTCATTTTTGTAACCACTGATTTAAAGTGACATTTTCCTCTTTGGGGTGTTAATCTAAGAAATGACATGAAAGTCTTAATTTAAAAAAATCTATCAAACTGGGGCGAGTGTAGAAATAACAAAATTAATCTGAATTTCTGAACATCTTGGAAAAGAGAGTTTAGCCTGCCTTTAAGTGAGTACTATGAATCTATAGTAAACAGATGAAAATACCCATCCTCTACTCTGCTATAGAGAGTATTAATGTAATTTCACTCTCATTTCAAACTCAACATCAAGGATACTAATTTGGATCTTTAATCTTCATGCTATAGTTTTAGAAGTCTTTCTTTGTATATAAAATGACAGGGGGAAAGAATTGGTAAATTTAAGGGGCGAGGGGTTCAGTCAGTTGACATGTCTGACTTCAGCTCAGGACATGATCTTGTTTGCAGCTTGAGAGTTTGAGCCCTGCATGGGGCTCTCTGCTGTCAGAGTGGAGCCTGTTTCGGATCTCTGCCCCTTCCCTACCCACTCTTTCTGTCCTCTCAAAATAAATAGACTTAAAAAAAAGGGTTGGTAAATTTAAGTATGATTCACACTTATATAAATTCTTCTGTAAGAGAAGAATTACTAAGTATTTATAACATAATTTTGAGTGCCATTTCTAATTGGGAAAACTGAAACACTAAAACATACATAGTTTGTAGAAAAGACATAGCCAGTGCCAGAATCAGTTACAGAACCAAATAAATCTAAGCCACATATCCAACTCCAGAATCATATAATTCAGCTGTTTATACTATTGTAAGTTTTAACAATCTTTTGTTGTTTCAAATAAAAGGAAAATCTATCACTGCTAACAAATCTCAAGGCTTAGCAAGTTCATGAAAATCTCCTCACCCTGTGTGGTACGGTCTGATCCACATTTACAAATATTCTATAGGAACTAGCTAAGTCCTTCTGATTCATTCTCCCTCGGTCAATCACAAAGTTGACAAAGTACAGACATTTGCTTTGTAATAAACAAATGAGGAGTTATCCAAACTACTTGCTTAAGTGACTTCTAAATTGCAACAGTAGAATGAGCTCCCTGTAATCATTGGCTACTTTGGTGACACACAGACACTGTCTCAGACATCATCAGTGTAACTTCTTTGTTTTTTGTAGTACTGTTCCTACTAGACATGAAACACGTGTTCTGTGCTTCTACCATGTAAGGTGAAAGATATCTATGTTCAAACTATTCATTTCCAAATCTTTGCCAAATTACCAGCTCAAGCTCCATTTTCTTTATAATGTTTCCATATTTCCATATAATGTTTCTCATATATTTTTCCTGCCTTTAATTATTGCTTATACAACAGTAAAATTAATATGAAATTATGTATCTTTACAATTATAATAACTTCATAATCTCCTACTATCGTTCTTAAATAGTTCATAATTCACCTATTGCTCACACTGTAAAACAAAAAAATGGTTGAACTTAGCGCTTGTTAAATTGGTTTCTTTGGTATACAACATTGCCTCACCTTAAGTCAGAACATGTGATTTTATTCTGGTTGGTAGGCTATGCCCTTATGTTTTAAGTTTTTAGTTTTTTAAAGGGTTGAACAAAGAATACTTTTTTTAAACAAAAATAACTCAAAACTCAATTCAAACCCCACTGGATTAATTGACAGAAACAAAGCATTAACCATCATGGTTACTATGTGTACAGTAGACAAGAATCAAATGCAAACATGCATTTAAAAATATTCACCCTGGAGGGGCGCCTGGGTGGCTTAGTCGGTTAGGCGTCCGACTTTCGCTTAGGTCATGATCTCGCGGTTCGTTGGTTCGAGCCCCGCATCAGGCTCTGTGCTGACTGCCAGCTCAGAGCCTGGAGCCTGCTTCAGATTCTGTATCCCCCTCTCTCTCTGACCCTCCCCTGCTCACGCTGTCTCTCTCTCTCTCTCCTAGAAATAAATAAAAAAATATTAAAAAAAAAATTCACCCTGGAATGTGAAGCTGGCCCCTTGAAGTATGTGATACTTTTGGGGTTCAAGAAGCTCAGTGTTCAGTCGAGTGTTATACAATCATGGAGATCTCTTTTAAAAGAAAAATGGAAAGTTTATCACAGGAAAGAAGTTCTCACTTGAAGATAAAATACACATTGGCAAAATATAGCACAGTGAATCCCTTGGTTACATTAAATTCTTAATATTGGTGATTTTATTTTGGCTTTATGCCTTTTTCCATACTTATTTTAAATATGCAAGTTATTTTTTTAACAAAGTCCCTGTTACTATTCAGTTACCTATGGCGGTAAAAAAAATCATTTTTTTAAGAAGAAAAAAAATTGGGCATCTGTTTGACAGAAATGAGTGCTTCAAGTACGTGAGTATCATTAACAGAGCTACTATACCCTAAGCAACAGCAGTAACAAAGAAAAGAGCTAGAGTATGCATTTTGTATAAAGATTAAATTTCACAACATAATAAATAAATGCACTGATTTATACAACTTGAGAAAACCTTCTACTGATGATCACAAGTAATACTGTCTTATTACTGTCTTTGTTGATAGGAGCACTGCCTAACACAGAGATTCAAAGGTAAAATTCTCGCCTCCAAAGCCACAAAATATACAAAGCTGGTTTGTTATTAAATATTTTGTCTGCCAAAACTCCTGCAAACTAAAATACATCTTGGCAGTTTGAATAACCAGCATGATAATTATTTTGGTATCAAAAGATAAGAAAAATTTTAATATGAAAATTAACAAAACCAGTAAAAGGAGAAACCTGTTGTATAAATAGACATTTTAACATAAAAGTGAGACTTTTATCTCACTTAAGAGGAAGAAACAAATTCAATACAACTTACGTGAAGATCTGAAATTAATTATCATATCTTCCCAGCTCTAGATAAATATATTACTCCAATGTATTAATCATCTTCAATATACAATATATAACTCACAAAACTGGGAATGTTACAATACCAAAACCTTTCACAGCACTAATTACCAGTTACCAGAACTGTAAGAAATCTTTAGCTACATATCAGCTTAATACTTAGAATATACAACTAGATATGGCTAACCTGTGGTAAACAATAGTGCATACAGTAAGGACCACAAAATATATTCTTTTTTCTTTTTAGCTTGTTTATCTAACTGCATTATCCTACTTCAACAGCATCATCAATGGAATATGAATCTTATCTTAATGCATTTTAAAAGTATCCCTATATTCTTTTAGGTACGGTTAATTTACTCTTGAAATGCAGTTCCTATGAAATACCCAGGCTATTTATAAATTCGCATACAATGAATAACTTGTAGCTAAAATGAAATATTTTAGGTGGAGTTTTTAATAGCTTTTAAGTAGTGGCTTGCTTTCTATTTTTCCAACTTAAACTTGGATGTGCATAAAAAAATTGAGAGAAGATATAAATATATGTAAATAGAATATCTTAGTTACATAAGGTGAATCAATCTGTCCATCTACAGTAGTAATATGGGTTTTTATCTTAAACATTGTCACTGAGTTGAATGAAGTCTCAGTTACTGTTAAACTTATTTTACTGAAAGTAACAGAAAGTATACAAATAGGTACAGTCCAGCTGTCTTTTATCTCTCTGTTCTTTGTAATGATAAACATTTATAGTTTTTTTCTTCTAACAGAAATGTCTCTAAACAAAATTTGGAGACAATAATAAAGAGGAGCAATGATAAAGGTAAAGCACGCTTTGGGTAATATAAAAACCAATAATCTCTGCCATTTTAAAGTTTTGGGTGTTTCTTAAGGAAGGCATCCTATTGCAAAGGCATCATTTTACCCATTTGACACAGAGATTGCTATACAAAGGTCACCTGGGAGATGCCATAGCAGGAGACAAGTCCCAGGCCCCATGGCCCTCAGGGAGGGGAAGCCAGAGGGGGGAGGTGTGGCTACCTAGTGCCACGGGAACTGCCCAAGGAGGTGATTCCACTGACCAATAGTTAGTATTTGAGGAATCTTCACTCTTCATTTTTCACTCTTTTCAACTGATTTTTAAAAACGTGGGTGTTTTAAAACTGCCACTTGTATTCTTATCAAACTCTGAACCCATGGATTTACCCAGCTTGCATCTGCAAAATGCAGGCTGAGTGGGGAAAGGGCAGGAGAGATCCTAAATGTCAAGGTTGAGAGACATAACATTTATGGACCCTTAGTGAAAAACCATATCCTTGCAGGATTCACATCTGTAGAAAATGAGAGTCCGTTGTGTTGGCAGCCCAGTCAGAGGTAATAGATAATGTGCTTTAGAAATGATGCATCTAGAAGTTTCCACAGTAATTTTCTAAGTCATAGCTTTGCATGAATATTTTCTTTCTTGATTTCTGTTAAAAATAACTTCTATCAAGACTCAAGTGGTGCCCTCGTTATTCATTAAAATTAGCTAAAGAATCTATAGCCAGTAATGTTTTGGTAAATGATATCGATATGTACCAATTATTAAGTGAAGCATTATTGATAATAAATCATTGGGAAAGATCTTATTACAGAATTAATTAGTTTGTATTTTGAAGATCAAAAGTATGAAATACCTCAGGTACTATTTTAAGGAATTATTAACTATCTGAAAATCAAGATAAATTAGCATTAATAAAAAAAAATAGTCCAACAAAATGCGCCTTCTCTGAGGGTTTTAAT